AGGTATTGAATGAGGGATAATTGGTTGAAGCTGGAGGTGCGTTTTGATGTGGTGGCAACCCCGCAAGAGGGGCTAAAAGCGATGTACTGGTAGTGCAAATAAGGCGCGCTAGCAAAAAATGGTAGTGCACATAGCAATGCTCTAAAATTATATTAAAACGCGATAAATAACGTTTATTAAAATATATAAAAAACTAATAATAATTAAAGATAATTATTTAAAAAAATAATAATATAAATTTTAACAATTAATAAATTAATTAATTAATTTATAATAATAATATTACCATTATAATTATAAATAGTTTAAAGTTATAAACCTTTTCTTCTTAATAATATAATTAAGTAAGCTTTTTAACATACAATTTATCAAACCTAAGATTATTAACAATACAATAGTCCTAGGTTACAAATCCATTATTAATAAGCCAGCCACAATCACACTCTTTCCTCGATTCAACCTCTACAGGTACAATACGATGATGCGATGATGCGATTAATCAACAGACATACGATCTCTACACACCTATCAAGTACATAATCTGATTTCATAGGACAAGCGAGGCAGATCCCGACCTTGGCATAATGGATCCTATGGTTGTATTTTAATTCGCAACTTTTTTACCCTAAGCACCAGGTATCTATCAAACTATACCATACTACCACACTACCGTAGAAGCTCACCCCTGCTTCATGAATAATTTCTTAGACCCTTGCCGATGCTCCTATCCTGCCATGTCCGGTTGAAGAATTTCCCGACGTTTCGCTATCGACTGTCGCCGCGAACGTTGTCTCAGCCTCAATGAGCTGTATTCGCGCTCCAGCAGCCGTCGACAAGTAGGATCCTCCTAAATCATGCTTCTCCTACATCAAGTCGGCAGCGTCAAAATCGGTGAAGTCGTCCGCTACACAGTAACTTATTCGCCATCGCACGATCGAATCCTACCCTCGCCCGACGTCCTACACCTACGCATCCGTAACACCTCCCCTATTCCTTTACGAGCTGCCTTTGTTCACGGACCCTACACCCTTTGTGTATCCGCGTACCCGGCCCACTTCGATCCTAACGTCAAGTTCGAGAATCCCCGTCGTTATGGCGTCCCTGAATTTGAACCCATGCTCAAGGCTGGAGGCACATGGACCTGCCAGTTGATTGTGCCGGACGACATTCGCGAGAGTGCTGGGACGGGGGCCGCGAAAGGTGATTTTGGCTATCATAATGAGGGCCGAGAAGCCTCAAGGAGTGCGAGCTGGGTCGTGGAGGTCGCGAGCCAGGTCATCTTCTCCGCCAGTGCGGCCGTGGGGTACGAGGTCATGCTTGCGCGAGACGAAAAGAGCTTAAATCTAGGCGGCGTGCCAGTTATAGGCGGCCAGGTTCAGATCCCACAGCCTGGAAAGGTGACCGACTTTCAACAGAGCTTGGGCGCAAGGGATGGCCACCACCCTGCGCAGCCGAAAGGTGTCTTCTCGCGAGCTATCTCACTGAAAGTGGAGGATACAGCAAGTATCTGGAACACCCCACCGCTCCCGGGCACTGACGAGTTGGAGCATGGAAGACCCAAACAATCAGGTATAGAAAAGGCAGTCAGTGTCGCAGAACCAGCAGATGCAGAGGAGGATGAAGCAAAGAGACGGCCACCCAAGAAAGTTCACCTGGTCGTTTTGACGCACGGTTTACATAGTAACTTAGGTGCCGACATGCTGTACATGAAGGAGAGTATCGACGCAGCTGCGAAGCGAGCCAAGATCGACGCAAGGGCGAGGAAAGCACGCGAGAGAGCTAAAGATACGGAGGAAAAAGGCACTCAATCGGTGGCTCGTGAAACACAATCTGAAGAGAACCAAAGCCCCCACGGTGACAAGGAAGACGAGTACGATGAAGAAGAAGTCATAGTACGAGGCTTCTCGGGAAATGCCACTCGAACAGAAAGAGGCATCAAATTTCTAGGGAAGCGCCTAGCACGTTGGGTCCTTTCCATAACATATCCAGATCAGCCCTTTCTGCCATTGACGAAAAAGGCAGCGACCGAGAGTATTGCCAATGCTTTCAAAAGCGACGATGGGAATAGTGATGGAACAGGGAAACCAGCACACAAGCATAGCACTATACACATGGGCCAGCACCATGGGGATGATCGCAAATACCAGATTACGAGTATCAGCTTCATCGGACATTCTCTAGGAGGCCTTGTTCAGGTATATGCTATCGCATATATTCAGAAGCACTCACCTCGATTCTTCAACCTGATACGGCCGATCAATTTCATTACGCTTGCATCACCATTATTAGGCCTCAGCAACGAAAATCCCCTATACGTCAAGTTTGCCCTTGACTTTGGCCTCGTTGGCAGGACCGGGCAAGATCTAGGTCTTACTTGGCGAGCACCGACTCTTGCCAGAAGCGGCTGGGGCGCATTAGTTGGGACTCTTGGGGAGAGTGCTCACAAGAAAGTAATGGGAGAGACACAACCGGAGTCGAAGCCCCTTTTGCGTATCCTACCCACCGGCCCGGCGCACACCGCTTTAAAGAAATTTCGCAATCGGACGGTTTATTCCAACGTGGTAAACGATGGGATTGTCCCATTACGCACGAGCTGCCTATTGTTTCTGGACTGGCAAGGGCTTGGCCGGGTAGAGAAGGCTCGAAGGGAAGCCGGCTTGGTAGAGACAGTTGTTGGCTTCGGATGGGCAGAATTGACGGGGGCTAATGTGTCGTCACGAAGAGGTCCCTGGTCGCCGACAACTGAAGAGGCTCCGTCATCGTCGTCACAGTCCGGCGTCGAGTCTGAGTCGTCTCATAGTGACTCTCACGAAGTGCCACAGCCTTCATCTAACGCAACTGTAGAGGATGACAGACGAAGTCTGAATCTTGCAACTCCTCAGTCAGAGACAGGAGGGGCGACACAAAACTCTCAGACGAACAATGACTTTCCATTTTCTGGATTTTTCAATTTCTTCAAGTCTAGCGAACCAGCGACTCGTAAAACGCCACCTCCTTCTCCACGAGAAAAGAAAATATACCAGCGCAGCCAGACCTTGAAGATAGAGGCAGGCGCAGATTCGGCAACTTCAAGTAAGTCGAAGGTGTCTTCTGGTCATGAGCTTAGCGAAGACCCAGCTCATGAGGTCTCTGCCCCTCCAAGAACGACGTTCTTTGAGTCCGCAGGCGACCTTCTAAATCCCAAGTTACCGACGGTTGAGTACCTCATCGATCCTTCGAAGCGCCCACGAACTATATTCCACGATCGAGTGTATCACCCATCCGATATTCCACCACCGCCACTCAAGAAACGCACGAGTAAATCGCTCACTTTCCGAAGTAAATCGAGCTCCACCAGCACCGCTTCATCTTCCAAGGAAGGGAACGGGAAGATCGCCTCACCAAATCCAGCACTTCCACATGCAGATTCTGAAATGTCGACTCGTGACTATGACGATCCCATGCATACGGATCCTGATAGAGATGTTGACGACATAATCGACAGCTCTAGTATGAAGGTCGAGGAGAAAATTGCCCGAGCATATCACCGTGACTTGAGTTGGCGAAAAGTTCTGGTCAAATTAGAGCCAGATGCGCACAACAACATCATCGTGCGTCGCAAATTCGCCAACGCCTTTGGATGGCCTGTTGTGAAACACTTGGTCGATGCCCATTTCAGCGACAGCGCAGCTGCTCGTACGAGTGACGAAGCTGAGCAAAGTGGAGACCGTGCGAAATCATTACATCAGGCGCCTGATGAGACTGGTGCCGAGACATACACACAGGAAGATGCACAACCAGGGAAAGGCAAACGTTCCCAGGATACTAAATCGAGTCATAAACACACTGCAAGTGAGGCTCTTGAGGCTACAGATGCAGTGCCAGATCTACCTTCGCTAGCTCAGGAGAGGAAATCAGCTCCTTACAGTTCAAGGGATTCACCCACTCGCCATTCGTACGATAGAATCGACTCGGCAAGCTGGAGTGATCGAGACTTTGCTGACAGCGGGGACGAAAGCGAAATAGATATGGGTATAGCATATGGGAGGCGTCTTGAAATCCAGACGTCTCAGGGACAGAAGGACAACGATACACCAAGAGCCACCAGTCCGGGCTGGAATTGGACAGAGAAGATTGTAGGTAAAGGGGCCGGGAAGAGGGGAAAAGGTCCCAAGAGCCCTCGGAGTCCCGTAAGTCCTAGGCCTGAGAATGAACCCGAAACTGTGCCTGAACATCAGGACGTACAATAGTGCTGTAATCTCTTTTAAGGTCGTTGCTAGAACACATCGGGAATGGCATCAGTTTGGGATAGGCGATCTTGATAGAGGAGCATGGGCATATGGGCGTAGCATATTAGATTTCTGGCAGAGCAACATTGAAATGGCATGATCAGGGCTACTCTAGAATGGCATGTGTGGCGCGTCGGCTTTAGTGAGCGGTATATAACTTAACGCCCCGTATGCGTATAGACTATACCTCTTGTAATAGTTATGGATATTTCGCATTTATATCATATTAATACATATGGATCTGACTTTTATTGATACGTGGTCTGTTTATTTCGAGGATGCTCATGTCCGGCTGGTTTTGATGGGGATATTGATCTACGCGGAGTGTCTGTAGGAGGTGCTCCATTTTGCCATACTACGAGCGAAGAAGTGAGAGCATTGGGCAGTCCCTGGCTCAAGGAAATTGAAGACATATATATCTGCCACCGAGTCGGATACTAATAAGATTGGAGGTGTACCAACCGCAAAGTGTAGGCCATGATGGCCCTCCAGAAGGTCTAATACAGTGGTGAGCAAAGCCGAGTGTACGAGCAAACTGTCCAGACCAGTCAACACTTTTAGGGGGGTGACTGGTGTTATATCATCGGTTTTCCCAGGGCATACTAGTGCTTTCACCGGGCCTGTGAAGTTTGTTCTTTCCGTATTTGAGTGCTTGCCTAGAGAATGAATCAGTCCCTTCCTTGATATACCCAAACACGCATAGTTCTTCCATACATGACAAGTGGTCTAGCGGCCATGCTAGAGGAATGGTTAACTCGTCGGTCTTACGTTATATGTCCACACCGAAGATTCCTGGTTCGATCCCAGGGTATGGCTATTTTTGTCGTTCGCCTTTTTTGCCCACAGGCGCGATAGGTACCTAGGTAGTTGTCACCTTAGATTGAAAGCTTTAACGTGTATTGTTAAATTATTATAGGTACCTTGTATATTGAAAGCTTGTATTTCTATATAGTGAGCTCAGATTGTCGCTTCAATTAAGAGGATGTGAATAGGTACATAATACATGTAAAAGGAGTTATTCTCTGGGCCTTGCCCCTCTATTTCAGCCTTATTCCCACTTCCCTATTCATTTTTGGCTCGTCATTCACACATTGACAATAAAACAGGAACTTGTCTAGCTATAATACAGGTAGGTATCTTGTATTTACTCAAGATAAGCTATAAAGGGATGCTGAGGTATGGAACGTTCTAGCCTTGTGAAGCCCAGAGTATGTTCACCAACTCGTCCTAAGCGAGCTCCTATGAGATGTAAGGGGGCATGTAGGAATATATTAACCATAATATAGTGGAAGACGGAATATGATGTAGCATATGATGTTCCCCCGCCGTCCTTGATCTCCTAGTCGTAATCTGGCTTTAAGTAGAAGCAAGGGGTCTAAATGCCATTGACAAAATGTTAAGCTATACCTGTTGCGAGGTATGGCTAAGATGCTACAACAGTCGATTGCTTTTATTTGTCAGAGCTATGTTGGCCATAGAAGACGTTAGGTATATATTTGTGAGCATGGGTTCGGGAAATACAGTTCTCCCTGTATATTATCTCAGAACAAAACCCATGTAGACTGATGAACTTCAGTCTGATGTTCTATATTAGCCGGGCCTCTACATCTTTGTGACTATTCTCACAAATTGGGTGGAAAGGTTCGCTTGCCCCCTAGGGTGGCCTTTCAAGGTACATACCTATGCATCAATTAGTCACCTGAGGTACCTGGCGATAGCTGACCCATTGGCCCTTCATGCAGCTCAAACCTCTGCATTCTGAATCTTTTGCGTAGCAGATGTACATAGACAGGTTAGACCTGATGCTGATTCAAGTACAATGTTTCTATAGATACCCCTAGGCCACACTGGTAGTTCTGTAACGAGTCTCACAGGACCTCCAGCTCCCCCTAAATCATAGTGTTCGACGTCGTTATTGGCCGATGATGCCAATGGAAAGTTGCGCATTACCCCCTAGGTTCAACTAAATGGGGGTCAAGGTGGAAAAGGGGGGGACACCAGCCAAGAGATACTGTCGATCAAGGAATGAAGGACCGGTCTATCTCGATTGGACAGCCCATCCTGCCTCCTTATCCTACCTGTCTCAAGTCCCACCGTTCTCGACGCATATCGTTGACCCTGCATCTCAGCGACATACTCTATGTATGATACTCTATGCCAGGAGTTAGTTCATGTCGCTGGCGTTCTCGATTGTATCGACTACATAGTAGTCATCACTGTTCGCACGGTGGAGCAATCCATCTGAACCTATCTGAAGCATCGCGATCTCTGAATGATTCCGTATGTTTCCGGGGCCGATATCCCGCGTCAGATCTATCGTCTGAATGCTTCTTGAATCATAGTCGTCGTTATCATTACTTAATGTTAAGTTCGTCGATGGTGGTCCTGATGTTTCCGTATCACGCTCCCGAGTTGAAGCAATGCAATGTATGCGAGTAACCCACGCATATGCCGGTTATGAAACAGATGGAACACTAGGGCTATATCGGAAAGCTAGATGTCATGAAGCGAATCTTCTATGCTCAGCAATGACTCGTGATTCACGTCATCGATGGATAAAACTCGAGTAATTAGGGGGCAGCTGTTGAATCAATAGGGGCCACGGCTTCGAGGTCGTCGAAGTGGCCGGCTCCGTCTATAAGCTCTTCCACCGGACCGGCTTTCCAGTGGTGCAGCGGTGGCGTAGCGTCTTCGTCGGTGACGACACGGGAGCATCTCAAACTACGACGACGCAGGTTCGGTCAGCGCCATGAAGGACGATGCCAGCACGGCATTGGCGCTCCTTGGCGCGCCACAATTCGGTGCGAGCCGAGATCATACATAAATTGTCAGGGTATCCAACGCCGTGTAACTTAGGACTCCGGCTGCCGAGAAAAATTGAAGGATTAATCTCGTTTGTAGTTGCCATATTTCTAATTGGCAAGCTGACGCGTACCGGCCTCAATGTCCAGTTGCGGTGATTTGTGTAGAGACGTCGGAATACCAAGACAGTTTTCTCCGGCAAGGGGGTGTATGTCGCTCCTTAGATCCGGGACAACTAGCACGTTGTCCGCCTAGCTACAAAACCATCGCGCCCCTGATCTCTCCTAGCAGCAGCGCAGGGATAAGCGGGACGCAACATTGCGGAAGCATTCATGAGATGTTACACAGCAGAGAAGGAAAACTAAAATTATATAGATGAACACTCGGTGGCGACAGGAATCAGGAAATCCAGCATACAGGGTGAGGAGAAGGGGGACGGGATACCACCACACGACAGGCTTCCCCTCAGCCGTCTCGATATAAGTCCGAATCAGCCGTTGCGGAGATTGTAGGTACTGGTAGGCTCGCATCTCAGGGCTAGCATGTGAGATAGATTGCGGCTCGCTACAAAGCAAGTTTACCTGGAGATCGGGTGCATGACTATGTTCACACCAACATGGCCAAGCCCTCGCCCGCGTTATTGGCTTGCGTGCGGTATATCGGCGTATCTCGTTCGCCCTGCATTGAAGATGCAGAAGAGTTGGGTGGACGAGGAAGTAAGGAGTCGAAGAAGGTAATCAGATAATACTTAGCCTTTGCATTGACCGGATGCACGCCGACGAATTGGGTACTTCGTTGGCAGCATGTGAAGTCGATGTAGGTAGGCAGTTCTCCCTTCAACGTTCGGATTGAAACGGGGCTTCATCCTAATCTCTCCTCACTTTGGAACGCGACGAACTCGTTGCTTTTTCCTCGATCACCCCCGATGCATCTACCCGGCCGACAGGAAGGGAAGCTGAGCCCGTAGGGTATGATGCTCGGTATGGTTCACGCCGATCCAGATTCCAAGCTATGCAAGCCAAGGAACTGGGAAGCCTGGGAAATCTGTCTGAGGTACTCGTTCCGGCCCAGTTATGGCTGCAGGATCTCTCTTTGATTACCGGCGGGCGCTTTCCCTTACATCGAAGGTTCTTGGCTCGATGACAAGGCTGCGATATACGACTATTGATGTCATAAAGTATCTAGTTACTTCTCGATCGGGAATGAAGCCCAGGATGCGCCGTCGCTCTAGCCCCTCCGCTCCTCCAGTCTAGCTATCTAGGTTCTAGGTGACGACTAAAAGAAGATGCTATAATAAGACTTGGCGCTGATGGCGCCGATAAGAAATTGGTCTAGCATGATGACGAGATTGGATTGATCACTGGGTAAAGAAACTAGACTCCGTAGGGTCGCTCAGTATCAAGGAAGTGATCTTTCCGCGTGCCTGAAGGGTCCATATTCTACGCTGCGTGTAAGACTGCGTGATTATGGCTGTAGTTGTTTTGGTCCAGGATATTGCCCAATAGCGGAGGAAAATGGTGTCATGATCGTCGACACAGATGACGGCGGAGGAGGTTCCCATTTAGCCCCGGTTGCTACGGTGTATGGGGTTGGCCATGCCTTATCTAATGCGAATCCCAAGCCACCAGGCTCACTGTTGGCCTACTATGTCCGAGATGTTTCTTTAAACGGGCCGTCAGAATGATGATAATGACCTTGATGACAAGGTCCGATATGATATGCACTCTAGATCAAAGGAGATATGCGCAAGTTTCTGTACGTATTCCGATAGGACGTTTAGGCTCCAGAGGAACGGCATGCGCCGTGTCAACTGTAGCAATCTCGCTTCAGCCGTTCCGAGTCAGAACTCTCATAGCCTATGCCCCGGCACGGAGCGAGGTCCTAAATGTAAGGTGGTTGTCCCTTGCAAGCCTTCAGCTTGCGCGTCCATGTCCTTTGGGGGTTGCTGGTTGCTTGGGCCTGCTTCTTTACCATGGCTCAATTCCTCCCTCCGAAATTGTATCGTATCCCACGCCAGCTGGGAGTAGGGGGTAATAGCGAGCGTTCCCCCCCGGATGTGCAGTCAATCAAACAATTAATATCTGGAGTCCGTGACGAACCATTGATAAGGCGCATATTTCCCCCACAACATCCTCGATGGACTAGCCGAGATCTCCAACCCCCAATCGACCCCCATTCGCTTATGCAGTATCGAGATTCGAGATAGGATGAATTGTTGCAATTACGTCGGCATCCTTGATGCACGGTCGTCGATAAGTTGCGAAATACGATGACAATACGAGCCCTAATCTATGTTGATGATGGCCAGTGAGTTCCGAGCTCGAAATAGCAACAACATCGTCAGATTTCCTTTATTGAGGAGGATCTGCGAAGGGACTCACTAACAGCCAAGACCCTTGCGATCTCTCAGCTCGCCAATCTATCCCATACATAAAAAACAAAAGACAATTTACAACCCATGCAGCCTACCGTCGTATTAATTCGAAGTTCTAGCCCCGCGCTTAAGGTCTGTTAGAGGCATAAGCCCTGCAAAGACAAATTCTTCCCAATAAAACAAATTCCTTGCAGACGCCACAATTCAAGAGCACCAATAGGATTGGACCCTGCTGGCACTGATAATAACGACAGCAAACTATTCAGCCCGCAAACGATCCCGGTGTCGAGGATGATCGGGGTTTGAAGTTTGACAATCCGGGGCGCCAGGCCGAAATGCCGACTAGGAATCTTGAGGAGAAGCGATACCTACCATTCATAGGGTACTGACGTCTGAAGCAGAGTGGAAGATCGCAGTACAAAGGAGAGTTTCGCTTCACAAAGTGAAGATGACAAGCCTCGGAGATCCTAGACTGCTGGTGTTACACGATGCAGGAGTGCAACTTCTCGTTTCTGTGCTTATGTAAATAGCCGTCAACCGAATCGATGATCTATGTATGTGCTGAGTAGTCGGCTCTTTGCACACCGAGATGGAGTGATGCCCCTTTTTGCCAATCCTGGCGATGGTGTCACAGTCCCAT